ATTCATCTTTAAGCCCAACAACCTGACTGCAGCCTGCCAACTGGACCTTTTCCATATATTTCCTTATCTTTAAATACTGGTGTTATCAAGACGATATTTTAAGTGTCACTGAATTTGTAGTTTGAGGCACAAATATTCATAGAGTTGCCATGAAAACCTAGGAGAACTAGATACCCCCCTACTACGGCATATTTGAAGTGCAGCCCTTTCTAAAGCCAGGGTCAGGACTAAACGACGACTTCAGTAGGTCTCTCGTCCTCAGGATTCTTTTATTCTCTGACTTCTTCACACTACTAGAGACAAGAAACTCATCAATAATTTTAATTTCCCTCCCACTCTGAAATCACAATCTAATTTATTGGTCATCTTTTGAAGGCTTAAACTAGGCATCCTGCACTGCTCGTTAGTTCTAGCCCATTTCTGGTTTGCCCTGGTTTCATTTTTCTGATTTTTTTTTTTCCTTTGGAGAAAGAAAAGCAAGAACTAGGGGCATTGGCCAAACAAGTCTGTCCACTTGGTGGAGAGGTTTCCAGATAAGAAGGATCTGAAGGACTTCCCATGGGGCGTCAGGGAAATTGCACACGCCATCCGGAGAAGAGGACCAGGAAATCACTTCTTGTTTTTAAAATAGCAGCGAGGCTCTCAGGGATGGCTCTGTGAGGCTCAGAGGATCACAGCAGATCACAGCTGGGAGAGGCCCCAGTGAGGCTAAGCTTGGCCACGGAGCTGCCAGTCTTGCTGAAAAGCTCAAAATGAGTCCTGCTTGGCTCTCCCTCCACCGGGTGTGAGGCCCCCTCAAGGAGACCGCGGGGCAAATGGCCCCATAGTGGAAACTGGGAAGCTTTCTGGAGTGTGATCAGAGCAGGAGCCAGCCTGGGGACAACGGTGCTGGACAGGTAACTGGCATTTCTCCTACTGTGGTCTGTCTCCCTTTGTAGCAAGACCTCAGGGGCACCTAAGTCACTTTGACACTCCTCTTGTGGCATCTTCCACTCATGATCCTCTCCGCCTGATTTTCTTTTGCATAGCTGTGACGTGGGTGTTGGGAAGGTAAAGCGTGTCCAGTCAGGAGCATTGTGCAGACAGTTGGTCAAGGTGATGAGACTATGTTTAGGGAGACTGACTATCACGCAACTAGCTGGGATCCCTTAGGGTTTTTTCTATAATCTGTAGAGATTTTTTTCTTCTTTTGTAAAATGAATTCTCCCATCCCTGAGGCAGAAGATACTGTGAAGACCAGAGCAGGCATGCCCTACCACGCTGCCGCCCTCCCTGCAGCGAGTCCACGGCAGGCAGCCATGGCGGGGCTGTGCTGGGGAAGGGGAGGCCCACTGAGCAGCGGGAGGAGCACGGGGATTCTCTCAGCTCTCAGACAGTCCTCGGGCAGGCAAGAAAGGAGCCCCAAAATGTATACCGTCAGGAGCCCCAAAATGTATACTCCCACCCATGACTGAGGGGAAAGGGATTTGTAGCCGGTGCTAGAAAGGAGGTTTGTGCAAATGTCCGGGCTTAAGAGAGGCAAACTTGTTTTGAGCATTTTAGAAAGGAGGAAGGGTCTGTGATGTGTGGCTTGCTGAAACCATGTTTTCTTACACTTTCTAGAGAGCCAGACCAGAGCTCTTCACTAGAGCTCTGATTTTCCTTTTATAAACGGCTCATGTAGTTAGTTGGCTTTTCATTATTGAATTACACAAATAGTACAGAAATATATTCTTTTTCTAAAATATCTCTTAAGGGTTTTTCAAGCCCTGCATCCCCAATATGCAGTCTTTTTTCCTTCTCCTCCAAAATTATTTCATCAATAATTTGCTGTGTTACCAGTTAAAGGACTTACTTTCTGGTTCTTCCCAGCTCTTAGGACAAGCCAGGGCACAGGAGTACGATAAATTCTCATTGTCAGATTCATGTGATGAACCTTAACACCATCTTCCTCTCAGTTCCTCTCATGGGGAATGTGAATAGCTCTCTTTTTTTTTTTTCTGATTGGTAAGGGGATCGCAACCCTCAGCACGGTGTGGTCTGCACCACGCTCAGCCAGTGAGCACACCAGCTATATAGGATCTGAACCCACGGCCTCGGTGCTACCAGCGCTGCACTCTCCCGAGTGAGCCACGGGGCCGGCCCTGTGAATAGCTCTTTTAACACTCAGAAAAGTTTGAAAGAGTTTTACTTATTTTTACAATTACTATTTTTGTGTTGGTTTTGGTTTTGGCAATTAATATTATTAATAACGACCTCCCAAAGATTAAACTCTAGATTTGCCAGCTAGTGGTTTGGGCTTTTCTATTTGAAGGCCATCAAAGATAGCCTTGTTCTGGAAATGAAAGGGGAGAAAATAAAATAAAAGGAAATTAACTAGGTATATAGATAGATAGATAATAGCTGAGAGAGAGATGAAGTGGTTGGCCCAGGGACAATGGGTAAGGGTGGGAGAAATTATCTTTTTATTCAATGGATAATAAGTGCATTTAACAGACTGGTTCACTTTTCATCTCTTTTAGTCTTTTGTAAAAAGGTGGCCTTTTATCCCCACTGCTCCCCCCAATACATTGTTAAGGGAAAATAAGAAAAAAAAAAAAAAGTCACTATAAACAAGTTGTTACGGGTCATGGAGATAGGCTTTGGAAAAAAGGTACAAATAAGTAACCTCAGGGTAAGGACAATTATAAAACACTTTTCGTTGCTATTTCATATTTTCCTGCCCTTTCCAAGGTTTCTTCACCCCAAACTGGAGGGCCACTTGTCCTGCAGATTTTGGACATTCTGTGTTGGACCGTCCTGTGAAATGTGCCTATCTTTGTCCCTTCTCCTTATCCCTGGATAATTTGATTAATCATTTCACCCTACTGCATAGTGTTAGCCCCATGACAGATTTCCACCGAGGCCTTGTAGGCTAGCACCACCGCACTTGCTAGATATGACTGAAATACAGTAATCTCACTTATGTGGTACGTGGGGGCATTTCAGAGCAGTCAAAAGTATGACTTGGGTTGCCACCAACTCTGGTTGGTAAGGCTGATCAGTCTTCTCTAAAAGTTATAAACCCAATCTCTTGTATTTATATGCAACTTTTTAGTTCTCAAAAAGACTTTCATACCTGTACACCATGTCACAGGCAAAGCAGATATCTTATTCTCATTTTACAGAATACAAAAAGAGAGATTCAGAGGTTAATTTCTTTGCCCAACATCACATGATGAATCTTTTGGGGGCATTGAGAAAAAAACCCAGATCACTGTCTTTTCAGCTCCATTTTTGGTTAGTAATGTGAAGATAAAGGTCACGTGGAATAGAGAATTAATGTGATTGGCTGGATTCTGTCAACTTTGTAGCAACACGGTAGATGTTTTGCTGGAAATGTAAAGATAGATCAAACTATTGCCTGGTCCGGATATTAGCAGATTCTAACACCCGCAGTTTATTACGATCAACCAGGAGCTTAACAAACAACAACAACAAAAACAGTGTCCAGACACTTCAGCAGAGCAATGGAATCAGAAGCTCTGGGGGAGGGCCAGGCACTTTTGTTTGTTTGTTTTTTTAAATCTATTATCCATCTGGGGCTGGGAATCACTGAGTCTGGGTGTAAGAGATAAAGTGGCTTAAACTGAGGAACAGAGGCAATATTTGTTCATGTGAGTATCATATGCATTAGAATTCTGGCTGATGCTGTTCATCAGAGAAACAGGTGCATCTTCATGGGAGAATGAAGAGGAGGTTCCTGGCTCCCCCGACTGTGGGACTGCCTTCCAGTTTAAATTGGAACAACCTCATCTGACTTCACTGCAGATATGCCGGCTCCTTGTTACTTGCAGATTTTACAAAGTCCGATTCAATGTTCTAGGTAAACAGGATGTGCTCTTCTAATGCCAGATGACTATAAGGGTCATACATTTCACTCACGATTACTTTAACATGTTTTGTCCTAATTCTAAGAAAATGGGAAAACAAAGAAATACTAACTATCCTTCGCATGATCTGCCACTTTCTGGGTTGAACTACCTGCGGATAGCTAATAAGTTAGGGTTGTGTTTTAATCATAGAGTGAACCCCTAGAGGCTTTTCTCTTCTAAAATTTCTTGATATTGTTCAGGTAGTATCACTCACCAGTATAATGTTTGTCTCCTTTATAAAGAGCACTATGAGGGGTTGTTCGGAGTTTGTTTTAGCAGTACCTGCCAGTTTCCACACACAGTATGTGCTCCAGGAGGCTCGTTGATTAAACACATGCATTGGCTATGGGCAAACTGCGAATTCAGAAGTTATCTACCAGCTCAGCATTTCAGTTCACATTGGATGACTCTGTTAGTGATGGTTAAAATCATTGCAATCTGGCCTATGTCCGAAAAGATAATCACAAAGTGAAACCTTTCAAATCACAGCCTAGTGGAATCACCTACACTGGAGAGACTTGCTAAGTGCTGTGGAATTACAAAGGCAGAGAATCTTTTCTCTTAATTAGCTTAGACTCTTCCTGGGAGGCAAAGTACAGGCATTGAGAAATTTAATAAGAAGGAATATTTACTGAGTGCTTACTGTGTGTGTAGGGAAAGTGAAGATAAATGGTCGAGGTCCCTCGGGGATTTGGAGTCTTGAGAGCATTCGATGTAAATATGCACATGTGCCCAGGTGTTCCTTGGTTGTCTAATGTAATTGCACATGTGCACCCTGGTGTCCCGGGTTATCGGACTTGAGTATAAAGGATGAATGGCTCTGATCTGCACGGCCCCCTGCCCCCCTGGGTGGGGAGGCCCACAGGGAGGCCGCTACTGCTGCTACTGCTGCTGGAGGCAGTTGCCGTAAAGCTATTGCTGCCAGGGCCCCTGGGATGCCCTGAGAGGCTGCTGCTGTTGCTGAGGACTGAGCTTCTGTCGTCTGTCAATGGCTCCTGAGATATTTCCCAATTGCCTAGCTCATGGACCTGCATGTGAGGGGTCTGGTGACCCAGCCTGTCATGTGAGGGATCTGTGACCCAGTCTGTACAATGGGTTTGAAGTGTCTATGGGCCCTAACCCCAGCTCTGACAATACAAATGGAAAACTTAATGTAACTAAAATAATGAAACATTTTGGTTTTAGTTATGAGTTGCTTTAGCCAGACAATTGTCTTAACCATACAGTGTGCTAGGCACATGTTCGGTGCTTTATAAAGATTAACTTATTTACTTCTAATAATCCTGTGCCTCGGGTGCTAGTATAACCCCTATTTTATAAAGAAGGGAATACACAGAAAGCTAGCATGTAGTGGAATCGGGATTCCATCTCACACACTCTGACTTCAGAGTCCCTACTCCTATTTACTGTGCTACGCCACAAAAACCACAACAGTGCTGCAAAAAGACCCACATGGCAGGGCTAGATGAGTAGCTAAGGAGAGAAACGTAGTGTATTCAGCAAAAAGATGTTATTTCTGCAGAAGACAAGAAAAGAGGCAATATGCTATAAAGGTTAACCAGTCAGACTTTGGTGGCAGACTTAGCTTTTGCTATGCCACCTTGGGTGTTTCTTAATTTACCCAATATTCAGTTTCTTCATCTGCAAAATGGAGATGATAATAATTCTCACAACATAAGATTGTAAGGATTTAATGAGCCTAGTGCATGCGGAGTGCTTAGCTTGATGCCAGGCACATGGCAAGTGCTTGACAAATGGTAGTAATCATCGTTGTTACTAAGTGAATAAGCAAGACCTGAAGTGATGACTAAAGCTTAGAAAGGAGGAATAGGAGGAATAGAGCATTTCAGTTGCCAAGGGTAGTGTGAGAAGAAGCTGAGATGTAGCAATCCATTCCACCAACGTTTATTGTTAATATTTACAACATAATTTGCAAAAGAAGGTAGAATAAAAGCTCCTGAGTGGGTCAGTCTGTTCTATATCCAAATGTTACTGGAGAAAAA